ATGTTAATGAAATCCAGAGACAACCAAGTTATAGACAACCTTGCTATGGTCTGGAAAGGGATGAAGTAATATCAAGTCCTACATGCGTATGGAGCAATTCCATCATTTTTAATTTGTATTATGGTATTGAATTTTATATTTTTGAATTTGTACTGCACAAATTGAATCATTTAATTCAAAAAATTGAACTTGTATTTCATGATTTGAAACTGAATTGAATGAATATTGCATTTCAGTTTTAAATTTCTATTCAATTCAATATTTATATATTAAGTTTCAATATGGTAGATATTGCATTAAATGTCTGTGTATCAAGTTTACAAACTATCATTTAAAGTTGATAAGTTTCATATATTAAACTTCTCAGCATTCAGATTTGGTTATAAAATACAGTTCTCTAAATTCAGATTCAAAACCAGAGACAACATCCTGGTACTTTACCAACCAGGAAAAGTAGAGGAGAACAGATAGAATCAAACACTATTTGTGGTCTGAAGCCAATGTGGCATGTTGAATTTATTTTCTTCCTATGAATTTCGCTCATTTTGCCTATAAGCTAATCCTGAAAGCTAAGACTCTCTGGAACATTGGTGTGCCTTCTGTTCCCCTCTAGGATGATCACAGGCCTCGCAGGACACGTTAGAATGGAGTGTCACAAAAAAACGCCATTTGCCCCCCCATAAGAATATACATTTGAAGTCGGAAGTTTACATACACTTAGGTTGGAGTCATTAAAAATCGTTTTTCAACCGCTCCACAAATTTCTTGTTAACAAACTATAGTTTTGGCAAGTCGGTTAGGACATCTACTTTGTGCATGACACAAGTAATTTTTCCAACAATTGTTTACAGACAGATTATTTCACTTATAATTCACTGTATCACAATTCCAGTGGTTCAGAAGTATACATACACTAAGTTGACTGTGCCTTTTAAACAGCTTGGAAAATTCCAGAAAATGATGTCATGGCTTTAGAAGCTTCTGATAGGCTAATTGACATAATTTCAGTCCATTGGAGGTGTACCTGTGGATATATTTCAAGGCCTACCTTCAAACTCAGTGCCTCTTTGCTTGACATCATGGGAAAATCAAAAGAAATCAGCCAAGACCTCAGAAGAAAAATTGTAGCCCTCCAGAAGTTTGGTTCATCCTTGGGAGCAATTTCCAAACGCCTGAAGATACCACGTTCATCTGTAAAAACAATAGTACGCAAGTATAAACACCATGGAACCACACAGCCGTCATACCACTCAGGAAGGAGACGTGTTCTGTCTCCTAGAGATGAACGTACTTTGGTGCGAAAAGTGCAAATCAATCCCAGAACAACAGCAAAGGACCTTGTGAAGATGCTGGAGGAAACAGGAACAAAAGTATCTACAGTAAAACGAGTCCTATATCGACATAACCTGAAAGGCCGCTCAGCAAGGAAGAAGCCACTGCTCCAAAACCGCCATAAAAAAGCCAGACTACGGTTTGCAACTGCACATGGGGACAAAGATCGTACTTTTTGGAGAAATGTCCTCTGGTCTGATGAAACAAAAATAGAACTGTTTGGCCATAATGACCATCGTTATGTTTGGAGGAAAAAGGGGGTCGCTTGCAAGCCGAAGAACACCATCCCAACCGTGAAGCACGAGGGTGGCAGCATCATGCTGTGGGGGTGCTTTGCTGCAAGAGGGACTGGTGCACTTCACAAAATAGATGGCATCATGAGGAAGGAAAATTATGTGGATATATTGAAGCAACATCTCAATAATATAATATGCCATTTAGCAGACGCTTTTATCCAAAGCGACTTACAGTCATGCGTGCATACATTTTTGTGTATGGGTGGTCCCGGGGATCGAACCCACTACCTTGGCGTTACAAGCGCCGTGCTCTACCAGCTGAGCTACAGAGGACCACAAGACATCAGTCAGGACGTTAAAGATTGGTCGCAAAGGGGTCTTCCAAATGGACAATGACCTCAAGCATATTTCCAAAGTTGTGGCAAAATGGCTTAAGGACAACAAAGTCAAGGTATTGGAGTGGCCATCACAAAGCCCTGACCTCAATCCTATAGCCGGAGAAGAGAAACTCACACAAGTCCAAAGTTGTGCTATTTTTTCATTGGCTATGTTATAGCTGATCTTTTTAAAGATAAATATTAATACATTACTAGTCTTCAAAAATAAAAAGTTATACTGAAAAAATATATAATCCCGTTATGTAACAATTTCAAAGATTTTACTGAGTTACATACAGTTCAAATAAGGAAATCAGTCGATTTAAATGAATATATTAGGCCCTAATCTATGGTTTTCACATGACTGTGCAGGGGAGCCAGGCCCAGCCAATCAGAAATAATTTTTCCCCACAAAAGGGCTTTATTACGGACAGAAATACCCCTCAGTTTCATCAGCTGTCCGGGTGGCTGGTCTCAGACGATCCCGCTGGTGAAGAAGTTGAAAGTGGAGGTCCTGGGTTGGCGTGGTTACACGCAGTTGTGAGGCTGGTTGAATGTACTGCCAAATTCTCTAAGCGACGTTGGAGGTGGCTTATGGTAAAGAAATTACCATTCAATTCTCTGGCAACAGCTTTGGTGGACATTCCTGCAGTCAGCATGCCAATTGCACGCTCCCTCAAAACTTGAGACATCTTTGGCATTGTGTTGTGTGACAAAACTGCACATTTTAGAGTGGCCTTTCATTGTCACCAGCACAAGGTGCACCTGTGTAATGATCATGCTGTTTAATCAGCTTCTTGACACCTGTCAGTTGGATGGATTATCTTTGCAAATGAGAAATGCTCACTAACAGGGATGAAAACAAATTTGTGCACAAAATTTGAGTTAAATGAGCTTTTTGTGCTTATGGAAAATTTCTGGGATCTTTTATTTCATCTCATGAGAAATGGGACACTTTACATGTTGTGTTTGTGGGTTTACTAACGCGCTAGTTCTAGTTTGTTGACTATAACGTTAATATGGTGACAACCAGGGTTTGGAACCTGTTCAGGGAACAGAACCAAAAACCGGAACAGAACAAACATCTTCAAGGAACAGAATCAGAACCATTATTTTAAAAGCATGGGAACAGTTTTTTCCAGTCCCACAAAAAACACAAGTGCCTATGCAAAGCCCTCTCTGTCACTCAAACTTATTCCAGTGTCTGCCTGCCTTCCCGAAAATCTTTGCTAGTCTGTGTGCGTGTGTAGGAAACCTGCCTCTCCCCCTCAGAAGCATAGTCTAGTAGCCTACTGACGTTTACAAGCGTGATTCAGAAATTAGGGAAAGGTTTTTAATTGGAGAAGAATGGATTAACCTTTTCAATGCTAGTTAAAGATACTATAGTTATCACGTTTCGCAATGGATTTATTAACTACAAAAAGGTAAGACGTGTAATTCTGGTGCTGCTCTGCGCACACACAAGCTTGTTAGCTAGCTAGCTGGTCCAACGTTAAGCCAACTTTCTGAAGTTTAAAGACATTCAAAGTTCCTTCATAGAAGTCGCTCCTCTGTAGGTATAATTATGTGGGCCTAATTCAGATGATGCATGTCATAACAACAAGATCCCCTGCGCGTCAAGCCAAGCGTCCTCCTCCACCCTCTCTCGCTCTCTCCCCACCCGCAAAATGTCAGTCGCGCCCTACGCTCTTCTATCCAATGCATGTTAAAAGCTTGCCTGATTGGTGAAATAATTTTATGTCGAGCTAAATTTCAAAAATATATATTTAAGAGTTTTTTAAAAAGGAGTAGAAAGGAACGATATAAGCCGTGACTTTTTTGGTGTTCAAACCGGTTCAGAAATGTATTTTGCTGGTCGAAACAGTGGAACGGAACAAAAAAATAATTTTGCTTCCAACCCAATGTATGCTGTGTAGCAGGTATGGTATGAAGGTTTGGCTTGGAGAGGTTTTTGTGCATGGTCACAGACAGCTGTTGTGTTGTGCACTGAAGTCCACAAGTGAAGGGAAAAGGTGAGAGGAGATTGCGTAGATGCGGGAAGGAATTAAACAACGAGCAAAGTGATGATGTTGAATGTGGCTCCTATGAAAGTGAACTGTGTGCAGGTGATCAGAGGTGTATTCATTCCGCCGATTCTGTTGCAAAACTTTTATTAAACGGAAGCAAACCGAGCGAAATGGGGAGGGACCTACCTGAATTTGTCGAATAGAAACTCAAAAAGAACTACTGTATTAGTTTTTGCAACTGTTTGGACTAATGATTACACCCCAGATCAGCTAGATGCAGGCAAGAGTGTGCAAGGCGGTATTGAACGTGTCATTGTCAGTCACCTTGATTTACTCCAATTTGTCTCTCGACCTGTGCACCCAAGTTTATAAACTTTAATTTGTAGGCTAGATTGTAGCAACCTCATGATCGGTTTAGGGCAAATTCGAGTGTCATGTTGTTGCCTAAACCTATGGATGTTACATTGGGCAGGGTGGATGGAAAATGAATGACAGTCATCCTATTTGCCGTATTAGAAATAATCCCATGCTCTTAAATGGCACCGACCGCCACTGCTTAAAATGATAGTTTGTAAACTTGATACACAGACAATGAATATAATATTGAAACTGAATATCAATTAAATTGAAATTGAATTTTAAAACTGAATGCAACATTTATGAATTCAATGATTTCAATTTGTGCATTACAAATTCAAAATATTACATTCAAATTCAATATCCTAATACAAATGAAAAATGCTGGAATTCAAATACAATTTCGCACTACTCAGCTAAAGAGGCGTTCTGCTGTCCGAATTCTCATGGAGTACTACAGTAGGTTGTGTTCATTAGGGCACGCCATAGGAAAACGTTTTGAAATGCTTACCGAAAATATGCATTTAATGGATAGGTCCAGGCAGTCTCTCCCTGTTTGTCTGTTTTCTTCCATTTGGTACCTAATGAACACAATTCTGGATATGTATTTGTTTCTTTCTGCTCTGCCCTGTATTCCAGTGATGCTGCAGCCTTTCGATTACGACCCCAACGAGAAAAGCAAACACAAGTTCATGGTGCAGTCCATGCTGGCTCCCCCCGAAATGACGGACATGGAGGGAGTGGTGAGTGTGTTCCCGTCACCCGTCCTCACACACACTGACACACATACGCATACTAGAGAAGAGATGCACCAATATGAAAATCTGGGCTGATAATGATAACATATATTTACCCGACCACATATGCTCTTATGGCTGATATATCATGCATACCTGATCATTATCTACCGATTATAAGGAATATATCGTGCATACCTGACAATTATCTGCTGATACCAATATGACTGATATATTGTGCATACCTGACACACACAAGCTTTGCATCCCATAGAACCCAGATATCAGCCTAGGCCCTAAGGTCACACCCTGAGGAAGATAAGGACAAAGAAGGGATAGCGAATCCGTGACCCTAGGCCCACAGCCTGAGTGAGGACCTAGCAACGAACCATACAAACAGTGCATGCAATATCCACTGTCACTGCTTTGTGTGTGGTCTTGTTCTCTCACACAATATGTCTGTTTGTCTTTCAGTCTCGTTTGCATGCAGTAGTAGACCTATTCAATCTCTCATGGGCTTTCTCTGCATTGATAGGACTCTTGAGAATTTGGTTTCATATTGCGATTTAAGACACACACACACTCAGGAACACACATAGGAATGGTGAGAAACGAGACACTGTCGAGTCTCAAACCACGCCAACACTTTTGCCAAGCCCTCTTGATTGTGAACAGAACGGTTAGATAAACACTTCACAAAAGTGGAGGAGGACAATGGGAAACAAATCTCACTACCGGTAAAGCACTGTCCATTGTGGTTTCCCTTGCTGTTGCTGACAGGTCTTGGCTGTGGTCTCTCTCTCTCTCTCCATGTTTCTCTTCTTTGTGGCCCGTCGATATGGCAGTTGGTGCAGACGGGGAGATGCTTTTTCAGGCACGACCCCAGGCCCAGCTGTACCTCTCCCTACTCTAACCCCCATTCTGTGTCTCTGTGTCTGTCTCTGTCTCTCTCCACCATGTCTGTTTGCAGTGGAAGGAGGCAAAGCCAGAGGAGCTGATGGACTCCAAGCTGAGGTGTGTCTTTGAGCTGCCGGCGGAGAACGAGAAAACGGTGTGTTCCATAGTCTCTCTCACCTCACCCTCTCCGTCTCCTTCTCTCTTGCAGTGTTTCTATCTCTGCTTGCCTCGCTCTTTGTCTACCCATCTCCCTCCGTCGGTCTTTCTCTTTCTTGCTTCCCCCTCTGTTCTCCTTCCCTCTTTCAGTGCTCCTCTCTGCTCTCTTCTCCTCATCTTTTGTCATCCTCTCTTTCCTCTTCTCTCTCACACACTTATTTTTCTCTCCCTGTCGCTCCACCTCAGCCATTACAAGCCTTCACAACTGGTGATTTAGTCGAGTGGAGAAAAATCCCTGTCGGCCTGTCATCGGACAATGTGCCGTGGAGAAGAGGCAGAGCTCCCCTTGCTAAGCCATAGCCATAGTTCCCTGGGTCACTCTTTCACTTGTCACACACAGTTTATTATTGTTCAGATTACTCTGCATACCACACTCTGCTCTTAGGAGATCATTTCCCCCCAGGATGAGCAGAAAATATAAACAAAGCGAAGAGGAAAATGGGCTTGGGTTGTTGTTTTTGTGAATTATGAACGGCGAGATACAAGACTGGAAGCAGCAAAGTTGTGCCACATAGTTTGGAGTGAAAAAGGAAACCAGCTTTTGCATCTCTTTTTGGAAGCTCCCCGGGTTGATTGGGGGATTGCACAGCGTGGGATTGCACAGCGTGGGATTGCACAGCGTGAGATTGCATAGTTTGGGATTACATTGTGTGTGTGTGTGTGTGTGTGTGCGCGCGTGTTACCAAATGCAGTTTGTAACATTCACCTTCTCCATATTGATTCCCTATTGTATGACATCACATTTTAAGTATGTTTCAGCATACAATGCATTCGGAAAGTATTCAGACCCTTTGACTTTTTCCACATTTTGTTACGTTACAGCCTTATTCTAAAATTGATTAAATCGTTTTTTTCCCTCATCAATCTATACACAATACCCAATAATGATGAAGCAAAAACAGGTTTCTATACATTTTAGCAAATGTATTAAAAATACAAAACTGAAATATCACATTTACATACACTACCAGTCAAACGTTTGGACACACCTACTCATTCAAGGGTTTTTCTTTATTTTTACTATTTTTTACATTGTAGAATAATAGTGAAGACATCAAAACTATGAAATAACACATATGGACTCATGTAGTAAACAAAAAAGTGTTAAACAAATCAAAGTATATTTGATAATCTTTAAATAGCCACCCTTTGCCTTGATGACAGCTTTGCACACTCTTGGCATTCTCTCAACCAGCTTCACCTGGAATGCTTTTCCAACAGTCTTGAAGGAGTTCCCACATATGCTGAGCACTTGTTGGCTGCTTTTCCTTCACTCTGTGGTCCAACTCATCCCAAACCATCTCAATTGGGTTGAGGTCAGGGGATTGTGGAGGCCATGTCATCTGATGCATCACTCCATCACTCTCCTTCTTGGTAAAATAGCCGTTACACAGCCTGGAGGTGTGTTGGGTCATTGTCCTGTTGAAAAACAAATGATAGTCCCACTAAGCCCAAACCAGATGGGATGGCGTATTGCTGTAGAATGCTGTGGTAGCCATGCTGGTTATCCTCTTAAGGATCAGACCCTTTTTATCAATTTACGCCTAAAATGACATACCCAAATCTAACTGCCTGTAGCTCAGGACCTGAAGCAAGGATATGCATATTCTTGATACCATTTGAAAGGAAACACTTTGAAGTTTGTGGAAATGTGAAATTAATGTAGGAGAATATAACACATTAGATCTGGTAAAAGATAATACAAACAAAAAAACATGCGTTTTCTATTTATTTTTTTGTTCCATCATCTTTGACATGCAAAAGAGAGGCCACAATATAATGTTGCAGTGTGCGCGCAAAGTTTCAGATTGATCCAAATCAAACGTAATTTGTCACATACACGTGTTTAGTAGATGATATTGCGGGTGTAGTGAAATGTGCTTCTAGCTCTGACAGTGCAGTAATATCTAACAATTTCACAACATATACCCAATACACACAAATCTAAGTAAGGAATGGAATTAAGAATATATACATATGGACGAGCAATGACAGAGCAGCATGGACTAAGATACAGTAGAATTTTATAGAATACAGTATATACATATGAGATGAGTAATGCAAGATATGTAAACATTATTAAAGTGACTAGTGTTCCATTTCTTAAAGTGGCCAGTGATTTCAATAGGCAGCAGCAGCCTCTAATGTGCTAGTGATGGCTATTTAACAGTATGATGGCCTTGAGATAGAAGCTGTTTTTCAGTCTCTCGGTCCCAGATTTGATGCACCTGTACTGACATTGCCTTCTGGATGATAGCGGGGTAAACAAGCAGTGGCTCGGGTGGTTGATGTCCTTGATGATCTTTTTGGCCTTCCTGTGACATCGGGTGCTGTAGGTGTCCTGGAGGGCGGGTAGTTTGCCCCCGGTAATGCGTTCGGCAGACCGTACCGCCCTGTGGTTGCGGGCGGTGCAGTTGCCGTACCAGGCGGTGATACAGCCAAATTTTTTCAGCCTCCTGAGGTTGAAGAGGCTCTTTTGCGCCGCCTTCATCACACTGTCTGCATGGGTGGACCATTTCAGTTTGTCAGTGATGTGTACGCCAAGGAACTTGAAGCTTTCCACCTTCTCCACTGCGGTCCCTTCGATATGGATAGGGGGGTGCACCCTCTGCTGTTTCCTGAAGTCCACGATCATCTCCTTCGTTTTGTTGACGTTGAGTGAGAGGTTATTTTCCTGGCACCACACTCCCAGAGCCCTCACCTCCTCCCTGTAGGTGGTCTCGTCATTGTTGGTAATCATTGTAATACTGGACTATTTTGTATCAAGTCTGCCCAAATGTGCTAAATTGGTCAATTTATACATTTTCAAGTACATAACTATAGAGAAGATACAAAAATGATATGGTAATACAAAATGTAAGTTTACACACTCCCAGGAATGTCATACATGATGGATCATTAGCTTATACACTAACTTTCACACATCTAGATGTCCGGGCGGGGTGGGTGTGGAGCCAGAGACAGCAGGGGATCAAAGTGTAGAACCCAGTTCGTACATTTGAGTATAAAAATGGATTTTATCAAACAAAACTATGCTAATTTTATCTCTGGGACCCTTAGGATGACAAATCAGATCAAGATTACTGAATGTAAGTACATTATTTACCTTCAGAGGTGAATGTATCAAACCAGTTGCCGTGATACTTTTTTTGTTGTGCACTCTCCTCAAACAATAGCATGGTATTTTTTCACTGTTTATAGCTACTGTAAATTGGACAGTGCAGTTAGACTAACAATAATTTAAGCTTTCTGCCCATATAAGACATGTCTATGTCCTGGAAAGTTTGCTGTTACTTACAACAATCATGCTAATCACATTAGCGCACGTTAGCTCAACCGTCCCGTATATGGGACACCGATCCCGTAGAGGTTAAGTGTGCCTTGAATTCTAAATAAATCACAGCAAAGCACCCCTACACCATACCAAAGGACACATTTCCACCGGTCTAATGTCCATTGCTCGTTTTTCTTGGCCCAAGCAGGTCTCTTCTTATTATTGGTGACCTTTAGTAGCGGTTTCTTTGCAGCAAATCGACCACGAAGGCCTGATTCACCTAGTCCCCTCTGAACAGTTGATGTTGAGATGTGTCTGTGACTTGAACTCTGTGAAGCATTTATTTGGGCGGCAATTTCTAAGGCTGGTAACTCTAATGAACTTATCCTCTGCAGCATAGTTAACTCTGGGTCTTCCATTCCTGTCGCGGTCCTCTTGAGAGCCAGTTTCATCATAGCGCTTGGTGGTTTTTGCGACTGCACTTGAAGAAACATTCAAAGTTCTTGTAATGTTCCGTAGACTGACCTTCATGTCTTAAAGTAATGATGGACTGTCGTTTCTCTTTGCTTATTTGAGCTGTTCTTGCCATAATATGGACTTGGTATTTTACCTAATAGAGCTATCTTCTGTATACCCCCCCTACCAACACAACTGATTGGCTCAAATGCATTCAGAATTTTCTTTTCTTCCACCAATTAACTTTTAAGGCACACCTGTTAATTGAAATTCATTCCAGGTGACTACCTCATGAAACTGGTTGAGAGAATGCCAAGAGTGTGCAAAGCTTTCAAGGCAAAGGGTGGCTATTTGAAGAATCTCAAATATAAAATATATTTAGATTTGTTTAACACTTTTTGGTTACTACATGATTCCATATGTGTTATTTCATAGTTTTGATGTCTTCACTATTATTCTACATTGTAGAAAATAGTAAAAATAAAGAAAAACCCTTGAATGAGTAGGTGTGTCCAAACTTTTGACTGGTACTGTAAGTATTCAGAACCTTTACTCAGTACTTTGTTGAAGCACCTTTGGCAGCGATTACAGCCTCAAGTTTTCTTGGGTATGACGCTACAAGCTTGGCACATCTGTATTTGGGGAGTTTCTTCCATTCTTTTCTGCAGATCCTCTCAAGCTCTGTCAGGTTGGATGGGGAGTGTTGCTGCACAGCTATTTTCAGGTCTCTCCAGAGATGTTCGATCGGGCTCTGGCTGGGCCACTCAAGGACATGCAGACGCTGTGTGCCATGGGTAGGTGTCCTGTTGGAAGGTGATCCTTTGCCCCAGTCTGAGGTCCTGAACACTTTAAAGCAGGTTTTCATCAAGGATCTCTCTGTACTTTGCTCCATTCATCTTTCCCTCGATTTTGACTAGTCTCCCAGTCCCTGCCGCTGAAAAACATCCCCACAGCATCATTCTGCCACCACCATGCTTCACCATAGGGATGGTGCCAGGTTTCTTCCAGACGTGGCACTTGGCATTCAGGTCAAAGAGTTCAATCTTGTTTCTCATGGTCTGAGAGTCCTTTAGTTGCCTTTTGGCAAACTCCAAGCGGGCTGTCATGTGTCTTTTACTGATGAGTGGCTTCTGTCTGGCCACTCTACCATAAAGGCCTGATTGGTGGAGTGCTGCAGAGATGGTTGTCCTTCTGGAAGGTTCTCCCATCTCCACAGAGGAATTCTGGTGCTCTGTCAGCGTGACTATCGGGTCCTTGGTCACCGCCCTGACCAAGGCCCTTCTCCCCCGATTGCTCAGTTTGGCCGGGCGGGTAGCTCTAGGAAGAGTCTTGGTGGTTCCAAACCTCTTCCATGGAAGAATGATGGAGGCCACTGTGTTCTTGGGGACCTTCAATGCTGCAGAAAATGTTTGGTACCCTTCCCCAGATCTGTGCCTCGACACAATCCTGTCTCAGAGCTCTACGGACAATTCCTTTGACCTCATGGCTTGTTTTTTGCTCTAACATGCACTGTCAACTGTGGGACCTTTATACATGTGTGCCTTTCCAAATCATGTCCAATCAATTGAATTTACCACAGGTGGACTCCAATCAAGTTGTAGAAACATCTCAAAGATGATCAATGGAAACAGGATGCACCTGAGCTCAATTTCAAGTCTCATAGCAAAGGTTCTGAATACTTATGTAAATAAGGTATTTCTGTTTTTTATTTGTAATAATTTAGCTAAAATGTCTAAACCTGTTTTTGCTTTGTCGTTATGGGGTATTGTGTGTAGATTGAGGTAAAATATTTATTTAATACATTTTACAATAAGGCTGTAACGTAACAATGTGGAAAAAGTGAAGGGGTCTGAATACTTTCCGAATGCACTGTATGTACCGAGATGTTTAAATAAACTTAAACCCTCCCACCCCTCCACCCACAGCACCATGACTTGGACGCCAACAAGATGATGTCGTCCAACCTGCTCAAGTCTGAGTCATCCACACTGTCCATGAGGTCCATGAGCTCCACCCTGGACGACGGCGAGGTGAAGAAGATCATGGAGGAGTGTAAGAGGCTGCAGATGGAGGCACAGCGGCTACGGGAAGAGAACAAACAGATCAGGGTAAGTTATACTGCATCCCAAATGGCACCCTATGTAGGCCATTTAGGATACAGCCTAAGAGGAGCATCAAAGGGGCAATCTGTGATTCAAACGACAACAATCGACATAAGTAACCAATATCAAATTCACTGACAGGGATTTGGATGCAATGACTCAATCAATGGCTATGTATCAATAATTTAAGAGTAAAAACATTTATGAATCAATCCCAGATTACCTCTTTAAAGGGGAAAGGCGATGAGTCCGACTACCCGGCGCCCGCCACCTCCCCTTTAAGTAGTGCCAGAGGCGGAATGGCTCTTGGCAGGTCCCGTCCCGGGGCCCAGATTAAACTAACAGAGCCCCCCCCCCCCCCCACCCGCTGTTGGGAAATGAGGTGTGTTAAAAGCTGGCGCCTGGCGGAGTCCAAAGGGGCTTCGGTGGCGATTTAGACATCCGCTTGATGAATGAATGACATTTCCAATCCTTGACTGAGGGATGTGGATCTTTGAAGTTGGGATGAGGATAATACTGATGGTCATTCCCCCCCCTCTTTCTCTCTTTCTATATTTTTCTCTCTCTTTCTCCATATCTACCCCTCTCCCCCTCTATCCCTCACCCCCTCTCCATGTCTCCCCCTAACTCTTTCTCCTCCCCCCCCCTATTTCTATTTCTCCATATCTGTCCCTCTCTCCCCTCTACCCCTCTCTCTCTCTTCCCATCTCATCTCTCTCTCGCTCTCGCTCTCTCCCCCCCTCCAGGAAGACGACGGCCTGCGGATGAGGAAGAGCAACGTGATGTCCTCCCAGCACTCCTCCCACTCCATGGTGAAAGAGGAGGGGCTGAGCCTGCGCACAGTGGCCCTCATCGTGCTCTTCTTCGTGGTCGGAGTCATCATCGGCAAGTTGGTCTTGTAAGAGCGAGTGGCAAGCGAGAGACGGCCAACCGCATGCTTTCGGGGGATTGAAACAAACAACGGATTTGCCATTTTTTTGGATTCAGAAATGCCATATCAATGGGGTAGTTTTGAAATCGTTCATTTATGTACTAATAAAAAAAGGAGATACAAAAAAACATCCATATTATGAACAAACCAACGAGCGAGGGGGGGGGGGGGGGGGAGCAACTGGTCATGCCTCTTTAATCATTACATAATCATTCTGCCTTCCTCCCAAATACTTGCACCACCGATACAAGATGAGGAGCAGGAGGAAGAAAAATGCAGATCATTAACCAGGCTTCCATCCAACCGTTTTATGTGAGGAAAGTACGTTGGATAATAAATGTCACGACAGGCCTGATGGAAACAGCAAATTTGATGGTAAAGTTTCCAAATGTCGACAAACCAAAATACACTAGACAAAGTGGGATCTTTTTGTGTCAGTAAAATGTATTATGCAAACAATGGCGGTGGAAACGCCTTTATGCACAAATATTGATATAATAACCATCATATCGAAGTAAACTTGGAGTCACGCGATGATCTAGTATGCGGTCCTCCTACTATGACTGGGGAAAGCATTCAGTTTATTAGGCTACAGATGAAATAAGTTATGATGAACTTCACAGGGTGGTGAAAGTGCAAGGTGATGAGCTTGATGCTCCTTTCCAATAAATATCGAGGGTCTTATTCTGGTGACGTGAAATGATCAATGCTTGGCTGCCATATGACAAATAAAAATAATCTTGCTCTTTTGTCCATAATAATCTCATCATGTAGTAGGCTATACCCACACTGTATCTGCAAGCTTTTGGCTAGAGCGCACGTGCCAAGACCAGAGTGGGCACATTCGCTAGGCTAGATAACGCAACAATTGTTGTGACAAAACCATCAGTAGAGTTGAAAATGCGATGGAAACCTATTAAAAAAATATATATGTATATTCGGTACATGGGGAATTTAACCGCAAAAAAAATTGATGGAAACATCTCTGGTGGGAAAATGTGCATCATGTTTTTATGCGGATTTTAGACTATTCGCATGAATATCTGGCGCCAATTGGATGGAAACCTAGCTATTGATAGTAATTCAAAGCAAAGGATTTTCTAAACACCGGTGGGTGCAGTTGAGTCAGTTTGCGTTGTGTGAATGTCATTTTCACATATTGTAGTTTCTTTTTCCAAGAGGCCAGAGGCCGTGGGCATACTCTGTGTAAAGAATCGATAGTAACCCTCTAGTAAAGTGATGCACGGTGCGCAGCACTCTTTTTGGCTCACCTCCTTTAGAAAATGATTGACAGAGGCTTCAGAAAGTTGGCGGGGTTACCCCAAGAAGAATAGCTGCTGCTTTGGCAAAAGCTAATGGGGATCCGAATAAACCAATACACACAGGGCTTTTGTCAACCAAACTGACTCTTCCAATCAGAGGCTTTGTATAGACCGGCGCCTCTGTGATTGGGGAATACCCTTAATCGATACAGCAAACCCCACGCCTCCTCCTCCCCCTTCTATGTTTGTCCAAGTGAGAACATTACCCCTCCCCTTTGATCGCAAATACCCAAGTTGGCAGTAGATTCCATAAAAGAGCATTAGATTTTTGGGACATTTTTTAATTTAGTTTAATTTTTTTTATCATTGTGATGTTTATTTTCAGCTGTAGGTTTGCACAACTCAATCTTCTGATTTTCTTTTTTTTGTTGTAGCGTTTTTATGATTTGAACGTTTTTTTTTATTTTATTTGTAGGGATTGAGACATTATTTAAAAAATGACGCAGCTAAATGAAATCCGGATCGGTTGGGACTGGGTCACTGAATAAACAGTTACTGGATGTAAGCCTTTTGCCTTGTGACCGCTATTGGTAAGTTATTCTATGGCAGGAAGTTAGTGAGGAAACGGGAGGAAAGGTACATGTTGAAGTGAATGAGTTTTGGTGAAGTCTAACCCAAAAGTAATGTGCAATACTTCTGTCAGATTTAGGCCTGCGAGTCATTTGTCAGGGATATTGGTCTGTTCCTGCTTTTTTGTTTTGTCAGGTTTTGTCCTTCTCCAAGCCATACATTTGTTGATCATGTCAGGCAAATGTATGTTGAGTCATCATTTGAATGGTTTATGCGGTCCGTTCACCGTGCTGTGGCAGTCCACGTAACTCTTAAAGAACACTTCTCCAACTATATGGTCATCGTCTTCATCAGCCCCACTACAGTCATCATCGATAGGTTTTGATGTTTGTCTATTTGTTTCGCATTGAACGATTCACAATACCTATCACTGCACTGAAGTCCTGTTAATTTTAATGCACTATATTCTCAATCATGTTTTTTCCCAGTATCTATCAATGTAACTGTTTTGTTAGTTGCCGTCTCGCTGCATTTAACTCACGAAAAAAAATAAAAGCACACAAAAGCTATATCCTGAAGGGACTATTCTCTACTATTTAGATTTTTTGTCCTGAACAGGATTCATGTCATACACTCAATTTCTTTCATCTCACTGTTGCCTATTATGGATTAAAGAATGGATAACTTGCAGATGGAGGTATGGAGTTGAGGAAAGCAAGACAGTGTAACCTACTGTATATATCTACATGTGAGAGGAGTGGAGGATGACTTGCTGCTTAGGGAGAGGGCAGAACAGGCCTGAGCTGACACCACCTCTCAAAGTCTTCCTGACAGTGAGTCACAGCTCGCTGTGTAGTCACGTGAGTCACAGCGTCAGCCAGGCTAGAGCTGAACTACCATCCCAGGGGTTGTGGAAACACTACAATTGACCTGTCCTGGAGTATTTGACCATCACCGTGATCGATGTAAACAGTCGGGCAACTGTTTTGTATGTATATAAATAAGTATCTTAAGAAAAATTCATATTCCTAGTCAAGTGGTCTATGGTGTATAAAAACCAACCTTGTTGGACTATGTAGCATCTTAATAAATTCGATGAATAAACCCTCTACCAAATTACGTGTGAAGTTATTTCCACTTTGTTCAACAAGCCATCTGGCCCACACTCCATCCTCTGACTGAGGAAGCTGAGTACAATACAGCCCTGTTGTCAGGTTTCATCTAGCTAACACATTAGGTTGTCATGTCAAAGTTCTAATTTGTCTTGTCTTTTGTGTCAAGCTCATCACTGTGTCAGAGGGAGGACAGTTTGAAGACACCACTTTCCCAGTCAAATAATTTCTTAATTACATATTTGAGAGGGGGAAATGTCAGCATCTGAAATTAGCATTCCCTCATAGCCAATACATCACCACTAATATCTATGGCTACGTTAGCGAGCTTGTTAATTTTGGCTTTATTTTGCTGCGTTTCTATTTATTTCTTTGAAAATGAGGTTTCCTTCTGGTAATTAATGACCACTTGGCCTTTAAAGTGTTGAATAAGAAGAAGAAGAAGTTGTTTTATTCATATTATATTATTGTGTCTTTAACACCCTGCAAACTTTGTCAGCACTTGAGGTTTCGGTTGTTAAGCATGAGGAAAGTGAAGTGTGCTCTCAGGACGACCTCTGAGGTGCACCTGGATTCCGTAGCAACTAGAGTTTAAGTTGGTGGGGCCTAGATACATCTGGAGACACTGTTGTAGAAATTACCCCATATTAATTTAAATGTTTCGATTCAGCTTGGGAATTGTGTCATTTCCAAGAAAAATCACAAAGGAATGTGATAATGATAATCGACCGCATTCGATGCACCTGAAGGCGGGTCAAATCAGAAATACCCTTAGCATTGACACCGTGTGTTGACGTGCCAATTTTCCATCAAGAATGTTTATATACACTTAAAGGAGGAATTTACACCAGAATACATGTCAGAGATTTAGGAGGAAATGGATGGTTTCCAATAATTATCTTCACAGACTCTGACCTTGCGCTAGTCTGGTGGATGAAACACTACAGATGTTTTTTACCAACAGTGGCCACAGGAAAACCACAGATGTTACTTGTTTGAGTTTTGGCCCTTGATTGGGTTAGATGCACTGTACACAGCATGGCTATTTAAATGCTGGCAGACTGACAGAGTGGGTCCCAGAAAGTGCCCGTCTATGGCTAAATTGCATTTTAGGCCTGAATTATCTCAATCCTAAATTAGGTTGTGCTAATGTCGAAACAAATAAGCAAAACTCTAGGTAGCTAGCTGACTCAATTTATATTTATTTATATTCAAACAAGAAAGATTAAGGTTATGTGACTGTCCTCCAAGAAAATGAATCCGCTGTAGAATGAGAGAATGAGAAGTTGTCGCAGACAGGACTGTATTCACTTGTGCTCCTGTTTAAGGGTTGTCGTCCCCCACCGAATCGAGGATTGTGACTTTTCTACAATAACACTGAGTACGGTTACATGCACACAATATGATTTGTGATAAGTTTGTTTAAGACGTTTACATGCTTTGCAAGAAGAACGGTTTCCCTAATAATCCTGTTTATATGGACACATCTGAAATCAAGCTACCTGATGAAATAAATGCAGAAAATCGGCAATCAAAATAAACTTTCTACTCGTGTTTTTTGGTGTGAAGTCTATATGATTCTGACTTCGGACATATAAAGTTTGTATGCGAAAACTATTTCTAAAATGCATGCTTTCAATTTTTCCAAACTCACTTCACTCGCACATAAGAGGGCGGCTTACGTTACCGGTGCTGGCACATGCACAGATCAAACACACCGCTGGAACCCCAATTAAGCCGTTTACATGTCTTAATTATTCAAAAGATTGCTCAGAAAACCAGGTGTTATTCTTACTTTGATTTTGACCATACGCCAATTAAGAAAATCCGAGTAAAGTGTTTTCATGACTATTGCCATAATCGGTTTAATATCGAATTAATGCGCATATAAACGTACTCACTGTCTCCCACCCCTGTATTTCAATTAATCTCATACTCATTGAGGTTTGTGCTATAAAATGGATGTATGGCTGTGTTTCTAAGTTGGAAAACAGAAAACATTACTGTCCAAGTACACTACATTCAACTCTGCATCAAGTAAACTTATTCGCCATCAAATAAGTTTCTTGGTGTTAACTGTATGCCATAATTAGTATTGGCAAAGTATGGACTATTGTTTGTAACTTTTGTTCAAACTCATCGGGGAAATAATCCACCTTCTAACAGCTTGAGCAACAATTAAACTACCAAATGTTCAGCTTTTATTTGTTTTTCCTTG